GGGCTCTTGAATCAGTAGTATGTCCAACTTTTCTTCGTCAAAGTGTCGCAGGATCATTGCTGATGCTGCTTTACTGTGATGAATATTCAGTTGTTCAACCTTTATGTTTTTTCTGGTATGGGCCCACCCGCCTCCCTAACGGTCTACACAGACCCGCTAGCCCCATACCAGAGGCGTTGTCTTGCTCGTCGTGCATCCCTTTAGAATTTCACTTTGGCTTGATCAAGACCACAGTTGAGCCTACCCCCTGCGGTCTTAATCGCCTCCGCGTCTTCTTTCGGGCACCACACTGTGAGCCTGACGCCAGCACTGCTCTCCTCGCCAAACTTGTTGAAGTTAGTAACTCTCCACTTTGAAGTGTCCTTAACACAGCTGTTTTGCTTCTGCAGTCTGCTAAGAATACTTTCCTTGCCTACGGTAGAGTCGTACACAAAAATAAGTAATCTTCTTTCGTTGCGCAACGCCGTTAGCGTGTCAGCCGTCAGCTTAGCTTCAGGCCAAAGGCCTTCCAACTTAGTTACCGTGCTGATTAGCCATGCCTTTGACTGTTGGTTCTTACACTTAATGGTAATGTACCCATCCTCAAGGCGAGCGTTGCCAACAAACCCTATGTCACCTATTCCGCCATCTAAGGACTCCACGGCGTTCAACAACGATGCTTTAAAAACAACTAAGTGTTTCTCGCCAAGAGGTCCTTCGACTCTTGAATCGGTGATGCCCATATTGAGATCCGTCCCAGCGAACTGGGCATAGGACCTCTTATTGGCAGGGCCATCCTTTGCGTCTCCTACTGCCCGCTTGCCGTAATTCTGTTTATTTGCAGCCTTACTTGTGCTAGGTAGATGGTCCGCTGTACTGGTCTGGGGCCCCACTTGGTTAACAACAGTTATAAGTTGTCTGCCTTGTTTTGGTTGGTTAACACCCAGTATGGGTTGTCCGCCTTTTTTAACCCCAGTTCCGTTTTGCGTTCTCTTCTGGTTATCAGCCGCTAAAGGTTGTCCACCACGCCGACCAACAGTCCTTTTACCAACCAATGCGGGTCGGTTGAGTGCCTGATAAGGTACTCCACCTCGTGCACTGGTTGGATCTTTGACTGTCGATTCAGCTTGGCTGACATCCTTTACTGGTTGTCCACCATCAGAGTTATCGCCTGTGATTCTAGCTGACGGAGTTGAGCTTGCTGTCGGAGCTTCCGGGCATCCGCCCTTATACCTCTTTGCTAGCTGCTCTTCCTCCAGCGATGATTCCACATGCGATAATCCGCTGAGTCGATCGGCTAGTTGTTCAACCGATCTTGTGGCTTTTGCAGCCTTTTGCCTCTCTCTTCTTCGCTTCTGCTTCTCCCTCTTGTTCAGACGGATACGCTCGGCCAAGTCGAGATCAGTCTTTGTCATGTTTCCAACTGTTTTGGTTAACGGCTCAGCCTCTTGCGGGGCTTCTTCGTCCACCATTTTGTTGGTCTCATGACCGTCATGCGTTATGGTATCTGAAGCTAAGGCTATCAGCTCGGCCTGTGAGGCCTCATTGTCCACCTTATCAGCATCAACCACTTCGCCTTGAGTTGGTATATTTAAAATTTGTTTATCAATTTTGTTTCCCACGAGTTGCGAAGAGAGATATGTCCACCTGCGGAGAGCTTCGCATTGCACAGGTACGGCTGTTTAAAACAGGAGGTCGCCAGGTATCCTGAGTTCGCTACTAAGACTGCTTCTACCCCAGCAGCCAAGCTAAAGGCGTAGCTGTTCCACCTTAGTTTGGGGGGTTTTATTTCTAATACACACAATCCATTTATTCACACATTCATACAATCATTCTCACTGCTCATTCACTAAAAGGGTGTTTTCCTTCACCCCGTCCGACTATCTGCGTCAAACGATAAGCAGAGACATGACCGTACTTATCGCTTGACAGTTGACCTGATAGATAGTCGCACTTCCCGAAGGCTGGTCAACTTAGCAGGGCCTGAGCAAATGCCGGGCCGACCTGCTAGCAGAAGGGTCGTCTTATCAGGAATCGTAGCAAGCTACTTTGACCTGTGCGCCCTCACGACTTACCAGGAATCGTAGAAGTTCTACTTTAACCTGTGCATTTTCTCTTTTAGTCGCCTTTTACGACAAGCAGAGACAAACTGAGGTGGTATTCTTATCCCGCCACCACACGGGGATGGTTAGTTAGATAAAAGGGAAGAGTCTTTTTTATAAATATGAAACTGATATAAAAAAAATTTTATGTTTACTTATATAAACTGATAATATTCATAATGAACTGGTTTAAATAAAAATGAACATTAACATAATAACATTCACATTCGTCATATGCAAATGCATTAACTTTTCATCTAAATACTTTTTTGTATGTAATAAACAAGAATAAACTTAGCAATACTCGAAACAGTGTTGTATGGTCAACAAAATTTCAATAAATTAAATAAAATTTTTGTTTGTGTCTTTTCTTTGCTATTCGCATTCGTTTAACTTTAAATAGTTTCTTTTCGTCATAAAGATCCGTCACTTTCGGCAAGAAAAAATTTACATTAAAAGAATTAGTTCTAATTGTTCATTTTTTTGCTTGACTTATGACTTGATAGTGCTTTTTTATACAAAAATAACTGTGTATAAATATGCAAAAAATTAATTTTCAAAATATGTTTAATTGCAAAAAAACTTTTTGAAACACACGTTAAAAAAATAAAATAAAATAGCTGTAGTATACATTATTTAGTTTATTTTAAGTTAAAAAATTTCCTTAATTTTTTCTTAAATGTTTCAATTTTTTTTCCAATTTATACTATATAATATTTATATATATATAATATAAATTATATATAAATAAAAAAAATAAAATATATTTTATATTATAAATATTGTATAAATAATAAATTAAATATTTTACTACAGAATCAAAGACTACAGATTACTACAGAAATTTGATTAAATAGGTGAAAATATCACAATTCTTTAAAATTCAGAAACTTATTTAATTTAATTTAATTTATTTATTAAATCGCAAATATTTAAATTTGGTACACAACATGCTAGGGACTGAATTTTGTATTTGTTTAAAATATAATAATTACATTTATGGCGTATAATACGTATATAGTACATACATACATTTTCAATTTCTAAAGAAAATCTGTGTAAAAACTTAATTGCTCTTAACACGATTTTTCAAATAATTTTTTAAGTATTTTTAGCAGTTATTCATTCAAATATATTTTAGAAGTATCATATCTGTATCAAATATAAATTCATCTTTGTGATAAATCTGTGTAATAAATTAAATTTGTGGGTCTTAATTGCTAAAAACAGCGAAGGTCCTTTTTTCTACACAGAGGCCATCCTCTGTGTTGTACAGCACAACACGTATTTGTTTCAGTTAATTTTTTAAAATTTCTTATATAATAAATATTTCAAAAAAGAGATTTTTTTTTATGAATATATTCTTTTAAAAATTCAAATAATTAAGCAAATATTAAGCAAATATCAAAGTGTCCTATCATGTTGAACTCATATGCTTGAGATATTTTGGTTGGATGGCATATTTTGTGGTTTTTTAGTATTTGTTTACATAAAAACGAAATAATAAGAATCATAAACGAAGTATTCAACGTACTGTTAAGATTCATCTATGACAGTAATACTCATAAAGTGAAAGAAGAAAGTCAAGAAATGTACAGGCAAAAGACAGTTGTGTCAAGTTTTACTTTTGTTCATTTCTTTTTTGTCACAGTAAGATGGTGCTTTGATAATGGAAAAGTAAAGGATATAAGTATAATATATTGTGTTATTATAAAAATTTAATTAACGTTTTTTATTTGTTTAATAAACATAATTGAAAATAAGAACGAAACAAATGAATTAATTTTTTTTTGTACTTAAAGGCATTCATACATTTATATTTTAATAAGTTTTTTTTTAAATTTTCTTTGGAACACCTGTACACTTTGTGATTTGTTTATGTTAATATGAGTGTTTGTATCTATATGACAATATGATGTCGGTTAAACTGAAACGTGTAAACTAATTAAATCTTATTAAAGTAATATTAAAGCTAAAGTAATAAAAAAATAAAAATCAAAGAGGTATAAGGAAATATATTTCAGATATTTTTAGTGTTTCACTAGGAATTAGGATTTAAGCAAGTAGAATATTGTCACTGCATGTGTTTATAAAATGTTATTTTTTTATTTCAAAACATTTTTTTTTACATTTATATTTTATAATTAATTTGAATTTTCTTTTTTAAATTTATGGCTACACATTTTGATTAGTAAATTTTTATTGAACTAAAAATTAGTTTAATATTGTGAATAATTTACAAGCATTATTACTTTTACAAACTGGGTTCGAAACACCAAAACAATTTTTTATAAACTTCTCCACTTAACCTGTATGACAGTTTCTTCTATGAAACAAGTCGACCTTAACATTTGATAAAAATTTGGCCAAGAAGTAATTTATCTAAACGAACCGAGTAAAAGTTTAATACACATTCGATATTCATATTTTTGTTTTCACCCTAAAATTTGTTTAAATGATCAGGAAATAAAAATAAAGGCAGCAAAAACAATATTAAGAAGAGATTTTTCTAAATATATGCTTCAAGCAATTTATTTTACTTTTTGATGAATCAAAAAAACACAGCCTGATATCACAAGCAAAATTTATGCTATTCTCGAATTATTATTCTAGAATAAATAAATACTTAAAGTAGCTTCTTTTAATGAATTTTTGCAAGTTTTTCGTTTAAGTTTTTGTTCACATGTGTCCCATATTGAATTTGTTAACAAGATATTGTATTAATATTTCAGGATACAAGTTGTTGTTGATATGGGCAACAGTTGTTTCATTTTAGTCTCATGGTACTTTATTAAATATAATTAATGGGTCAACTGTTTGGCTATCATTACTACACATTTGGTGGCATATTAAATGTTATGCCTTTGAGTAATATGCATTACGATTTTTTTTATTTTACTCTATTTTGAGGGCACTTACCTCCAAAAAAGTCTTGATGCGTAATATATAACTTGGTAAATTTAAACATACAAAAACAGTCGAAACGACTAGCAACATTTTTGTCACTTTCAGTTGAGATGAATTCGTAATTTTTCGTCTTCCTGTGAATAAAAGAACAAAAATATTTTTGACATATTTGAAATTTTTCTACACCACGAATAAGTTTATAATTTTAGCACTTTGATTTATTTGTTTTTATATATTCTAAATATCCCTAGCTTGTAAGCAAACTTTATTTAAAATATGATGGTCAATGGTTGATGTTTGAACTATGATAAGTGTTGCTGGTTTTTTGAAAGTTTAAAATGTTTCATGTTGCTGAATAAAATACTGCTATATATGTATATATATGTATATATGTATAAATAGAGTAATGTATTAAAAATATTAATAAAATAAAAATGATTAATTATTTTTATTTTAATGATATATACAATTTTGTGTTATTTTTATTTAAATAATTAAAATAAATTTTTTTTGTGAACTTATGGTAATTTTAAAAAATTTTTAATGATATTTTTGCTTATAAATTAAAAATTTTTAAAATTAGTAAACATTATTTTTGAATGAAAATTTATTATAATTAAAATAAATATTTTTAAGTTGCAGAGATTAACAAACAAAGTTGATTGTTTTTAGCTTCAACACTGTAGAATTTTGTTCCATTTTATTTCCTGTAATGAATTCTTTACTATCCGTATCCGTAAATTAAAATTTTAATTATTGCCCGAGCATGTATATACACTAATATATAAAACAATTGTTCTGTATATATTTACTTTATAATTGGTTATGATAACTATCATTGCAAACTTGATGTTCTGGAGTGTTTAAAAATGTACATAAATCTATACATTAAAGAAAGCAAATAATAAATATCTCTTCTAAAATGAGCTTATAGTAAAATCTGTTTTTCTTACAATTTTTCAAAGTGCATAATTTGCTGTGTTGCCTACCAATAAGGTCCTTATTAATTAAATAGAAAAAAAAAGATTTTAATAGATTTACATCTTTTATAGTGTTGCAAATAAAATTTACGAGTAATTTGCATTTAAAATAGAATTTTTTGCAAATGAATTCCTAAAATAATGTTACAAAAACGAATAAATTGAAAAATAATATTAAATATGCAATTATTACCTATAAAAAATTATAATTTTTGTACCCCCAATGCATATAATTCGTCTCTTTATAAATTTATTATTGGCAACAGCCCCTTTAATTTGATTGAAGTCCTTTTCTATGCATTAAAAGTTTATATGTTTTATATAAATTATTTTTCTACCGTTTTATACCCATAGGAATAAAAATTTGCCAAATTTAGTATAAAATTTTTGTATGCAATTCAAAAGAACCCAATCATAGGAAAAGTGTGTGTGCGTTTGGTTTAAAAAGATTATGCGATGCGCTCTCTTTGATCCCTGTATAAGATTTTTTTAATTTTTTTTTCATAAAAAATAAAAAGGTAAACTAATCTTTTTGCATTGTTGTTTAACTTATTAAAAATATTTTTTTATTTATTTATAAAGGGGAAATTGAACTCTCAACATTTCCATCTATCTGTTAGTATTTGCCACTCGCAAACTATTTTGGCACTGCTGCTAAGTAATACAATTTATATGATGAAACCTCAACCTTTTAATCTTTTTCTAATGTACGAAAGATAGATAGAAAGTAAGTAGTATATTTATACACAATTCTTCTCCGACACAGTAAACATTTTCGCCAAGCTAATAATTTCCGAAGCGTTACTCGTGCTTTTAAATTTTGATTAAATTGCATTAAAATTTGCACTTCAATGCTTTAAATATTTCGAATATTTCAGATCCTGAAAACTTTTAATTACAAAGGTTATCCATTTCGTAGTCCTGATTTGGCAGCTCAGTTTCAGTGTCATATGTTAATATTTAATATCTATTTGTGGCAATATTTAAAAACATAATTTAGATTGTCTAGCAATCAATAGATTTATATTAATAATTGGAAAAAAAATAAAATAAAAATAAAAAATTATGTTAAATAGTTAGCAGCAATACTTCACACTATAGTTGTTTAGAATAAAATCTTTAGTTTTTGTTTTTCTTTACTGAATTTGAAATGGCTTTTAATTAGCTAGCTTTCTGTTGCTTTCTGTGATTTCTTTTTAAATATCTAAAGTAACAAAAAAAGATTAAGATATTGGGCAAGCAATCTTATAAATAATATACATTGAGTGCACATCAAATGAAACACTTAATAAATATAAATACAAACAAAAACTCCAGATTAGAGGATAATGCATAAAATAACTGAACTCACTTGACTTTCGTGTAATGTCGCAATTCAGACGTGAAACGTTGTTTTGTCCACTCGGGTGTGAACAAGTCGATTTTTGTCGCTTCAGTGAGGTTATTCGATACGTTGAAGAAGTAAGTGCATCCCTGGTAAGTTGAGTTTTCCTTTTAAGGAGATAAATAACAATATTGAACGCAAAGATAATAATAATAATAATAATAATAATAATAAATATTGCTTATAAAATATTAAGCCAAGTATAATGATCAGAACATAGTAGTGTTGGTAAGGATTTGATGTAGTGGAAAAGTTCAACACGTGTACTGTGCATCATTGTTCGTCATTATTGTTTCCCGTTCATATTGACACTGCTAAAACTGCTAGAAAGCTAATACTAAATTTTTGAGTGATTCAAAAATAAGCTGATGGCTGTACTATTTATTAAATAAATGAACTTGTTTATTTTAATTTTGTAAAAATATCAGTTAGTATTAAGTTTTGTGCGATAAAGATATTATGGTATATATATAAGTAGTGAAAATCCTTATTTTGGGACTTTGTATTTGGTAGGATCTATGCGCTCGTTTAATATGTTTTATAAAGTAAATATTTAAAATATGATTTGATTAATTCATATAATATTCATTACTCTTAGGAGCAAGCAAAAACATTCTTTAACCATAGAAACTTTTAAATATTTTACATATTTTTTTAAACACTTCCTTATTTCATTTGGTTTGTTATAACCGTATATTAAATAATAATAATATTATTAATAATAATAATATTATTAATTTACGTTGTAATTTTGCGTATCGTGAATCTTCGCGTTCTAGGTTCAATATTTGAATAAAATGTTGACGCCATCGGTTTAGCTGATCATTTACGTTTGTCAGTAGCTCACCAAAGAGATTCTTGACAGGGAGGGTTCTTTTGACGCTCTCGCCTGTTAGTTTCTTTGTTATATCAAAGAGATATAAGTTATAAGAGATATAAGTTTTTCAGAGATAGAACGTGAAAAATTTTGCTTTATATTTGGTGCTTTCAATTTAGAGACCTTGTATTTGATTCTGCTCCACTTACCCGCCTTTTAATTCTTATTGGGTTGACTAATATTTTGCCAACTAATAGGTGGTGATCAGAACTGATATCGGCCCTTCGTTTATTTCTCACATCGATTAAACATATCATATCAGGTGATACCCACGTTACTTTATGCATTGTTTTAAGCGGGAAAAGCGTGCCTCCAATTTTGAGTTTGTTTATACCACATAGCTCTACAAGGCATTCGCCATTGTCATTCATGTCACCGAAGCCATGTTCCCCAATGACGTGTTTTAAGTTTTCATAGCACTGAACAGTTGATATATTTTTAGAATGACACTTTAATCTTATCATCATTTTGCGTTCATTTATAAGCTTGTACTCTATCACAGAATCTCGTAATTTAGCATTTACTAATATTCTTACACCGTAGGAATATGGTGTAAATCATTTTCATATGGCATGCCTGACCAAAAAATCTATCTTCGGTCATGCCCATAAAGGCTAATTTGTAATTTACAAGTATTTTTGCCGACTGGGCCAGTGTACCTGCGCTATATAGCGTTTTTACATTATAGGTTCCAAATCGTAATCCATTTTCGTTGCGTTTTTTCGTCATCAAGTTTGGGTTCAGGCTTTCATTTCTTATAGACATTTTGGGAATTGGTTTATGCTTCAGGTACAATGAGTGATCGGCCCGTTGTACCCTAATCTGATGATGGAGTTGCCATCAGAGCCATCAGGTATGAGTGGAAAGTTAAAAAAAAAGTGCATTCGGCTTTTGCATTTTCAGGCAGAGGACTTATTACGCCGGTCCTTGTTCGGCGCGTCGTCGGTAATTTGTGGTAACAGGTTCACCACAAAAAGGCTTACCGGTCGACTTGTTGAGGAGAGGCTAGATATTGATGTATTGCGCTGTCTATGTTTTACTTCCGGAATCACTCAACCGTTTATGAACCTTATATATAAATAAATAAAAATATGTTTTCACATATAGGGGACAAGCATATTGACTTCAAAATATTACCAAAATAATTTTAATAACTTACTACAAGATAATCTTTATGGATTTTAGATTTTAGTTTTTGTAATTTCATTACTTATTTTAAGACTGAAATGCTGTAGAAATTGTTTTTGAAAACAATTGAAATGGTCATTTTGATTGGCATGTGAAAAAAAATTATTATATATTGTTTGGAATAAATATTTACTTATTTCATTTTATTTGTTATTTGTTGAACTTTTTTACTTACATTTTTTGCATAGTTAAGCTTCTCCGTACAGTTGCAAATTTCCATACTGTGCAGCCGGTGAAAGTATTCAGTATGGCAATTGTAGTGAATGGCACTGCGAATATTATAATTGTATCCCAATAATTTAGTAGTGTTATATATTCCTATTCAAAAAAAAGTTAATTAAAAATATTGTTTTGAACGTTGTTCTTCTTTTCAAGTAATAATTTTAATTAAAAAATATTTCTAATATAATTTTAAATCAATAAATCAATTTATATCCAATTAATATCAAATTGAAATATACAATAAATCGAATCATTTAGTTTTGGTTTTCATTTCTTATGTCAATACTCTTAGGAATTAAATTCTTAAGTTTCATCATTATTCCATAAGTTTAGTAAATAATTGCTAACGAAAAAATCTATTTAAAGGTTGATATAAATATGGTTTCAAATGTTAATTATATAGATATACCATATATTAATACGTATTATCTATTCTGTAAAAATAGTTATTTTTAATTTAAGGCTAAACATTAATATATATTTAAATTATTTTAAATTTCTATTGTTTTTTTTCTGTTGGTTTTCAATGTTATTATTCTAAAAGGTTAATTGATACTAATAACGATTTAACGAACTTAAATGAAATGATTGGTTGTCAAAATACGAATAATTTCCTACTTTATTACTATTTGCAAATTTTTTATTTAAGTATATTATGACATGAAGACATTAAAGTTTGTTGGCACTTGAAAGATAAATACAAACATTTAAACTTAAAGTTCTTTCAATTTGTCCTTCGAGCTGTGCACTTAAATGCATTTAAAGAAAAGTTTTTGCATAGAAAGAAGTTAAAAAAGTTGAAAAAGTTGAAAAAGTTTTATTATTTCAAATTAGTTTTGAATTACTGCACTATTGACATTTTATCAGTTTAAAGAAACCCTAACTTTGCAAATTGAGTAGTTTAGAAGAAGTAGTTAACCCTTCTGTAACACTTCTTCCAAACAAAATGCAAACAGTTTTGCTATTAGCTAATGCATCTTAATTTTATATGATAACTGCGTTTTCAAATTTAAACAAAATTAAGATGCTCTTTTTATAACATTTATTTTAACAATGTACAATGTATATTTATTTTGAATTATTTCAAATTTTATCATTTGAGGTAATTTATCTGCATAAATTTGTTAATGAAAAGTGAGTAACAAGTTTATTAAAATTAATAAATTTAATTTGCCATCAAGTTTTATTTTTTATAATAAAACTATTTGATTTTTCAGTAGAACTTATATCCTAATAAATGTAAAGTACAACATTATTATATAAAAAATATAAAATTATAAAATGACAATACTTGCAGTCAATTATTATTTTAATTGAATAGAAATAAAAGCTTTAGTGTAGATCGTTTGATTTCTAAAACATTTTAGCTTAGAGAAACTCACTGACATTGTTTTAATGTTTTAGGACATACTGACCTTAATTAGGTAGGTGCCGAATATTTAGTATTTGGTAAGTAATTTTTTGTGCAATTTTGAAAGTGTGAAATTCATATCTCCATAAAAATTAATTAACCCAGAGCAAACCTTTATCAAGCAATTCCTCTGTCCTAGATGTAAATTGCTTGATAAAGATTTGCTCTGGGTTAATTAATTTTTATGGAGATATGAATTTCACACTTTCAAAGTTGGACAAAGCGGTACTATATTTAATTAAAGTTAGAACTCAGTATATTTAAAAGATTACAATAACATTAATTAATTTGTCACCTATTCATCAATATAAAAAATGTTCTAAAAAGTCAAAGCTAACCTTTTTGGTTTTTTTCGAAAGAAACAGAAAATCGTAACAGAAAATTCTTTTATTAAAAATATATACCACAAAAAATTTTGGTAAAATATTTGACAATTTTTCGTTAGTCACATCTATTAAACGAAATAATCTTTTCATACTTAAACATCTATTTTCTCCATTGTTATATTTGGAACATAAAACTTTAATGAAATTTCGAGTTATTCTTATTTCTTAAACTTTCTTGATTTCTAATAAATTATTTATAAATTTCAAATACTTACTAAAATGTTACTATTATTTAAAAACATCAAATTGGCATCTTTTTCTGTGACATTGTTGATTTTTAAATATTTGTTTTATGAAAAAATAAATATAATTTTGAAACAATTTTTAAAAACTTTCTTTAAAATTATAATTTTTAATACATTTTACAAAATTTAGTTTTGATTTAGTATAAACGTTTAAAATTTATTTCTATTTCCATTATTATATTCCATTATTTCATAAACTACTAAAAAAGCGAACAATTTCATTGTACTCTCAGAGATTGAAGAAAAATTCAACCAGTACTAAATTCCCGGAAGCCGTGTGAATTCTGGTCGGAAATTTATATTATTAATACATTATTTTTATTAATACATTATTTAGTCCCCTAAAAGGGGGTCCTAGTATTTCACTAGATGGACTCGCAGGTGAGACTAATCCCAAGTACTCACCCCCTTCGAAAGGAGGGCCTCCACGTGGTGATCCCTGGTAACGCTTATAGCGGCTAATGCGAGCCAAACCCGCACCTTCCCATTCCTAAATATTCCCTACTATCAACATTTCAATACCCCTATCCCTCTCCACCTCCATCTTCCCCCCCAATCCGGAATTTGCACGTGTTCATCGGACTTGTTTGCAGTCGGGGGTAACAGACTGTATTCTAGCGTCGCACCTCAATGATACCTGCCCGCCTCATTGAGTAACTGTGGGCTTACCGTGTTATCGGGGGCTATGACACGGCGGACCTCCTTTCCCCCACACTCGTGGGAATTTAATGGAACATAATTTGAATAAAAATAATAAAAACAATATAAAAAAACCAGCAGGAACACACACTGCAAATAAACTGGTAAATCGGTCGGAGTCTGATATCCAACAAACCGATCGCCAGGCACCCTTTCCAAAACGGAAAGCGGAAAAAAGTACTGAGGGCAAAGAAGCTAGGAACAATACTAGCTCTCTGCCAACTGAATCAAAAACGGAACTTTCGTTACGAAAAGGAAGTCAAGGAACTCTGGGTTCAAAGGTTGCACCAAAAGATGTAACGATCGAAACACTACCACAGCCCTCGACAAGCACTGGACTAACCTCCGGCCAAATTTTCGCGACGCCAGGAAATCTACTGGTTTGAGCGGTGCGGGTACAAAATGGTACCTGCGCTATCTCAAAGAAGGCTTAGCACCGGAGGCAGCCAAGGAAAAGGCGCTCAATCGGCCGAGGGGCAATCAAGACTCTAAGAAGAGGTCTGCCCAAGAAATTAGTCCGATCGATCATCAATCAGCTAAGAAAAGAAGAGGGAATGAGAAACCTCCACAAGCAAAGGATGGTACGCAAATGACAGCACCAAAACAACCGAGAAAAATAATATCGGGCAGCAGTTACGCTAATGTAGCCAAGAGCTTAAGAATAGCAATTCTTCCGAAATCTTACCCGGAATCTACTCTTTCTAGGGAGGAGCAAGGTAAAATCGAGGAACTTCTCATTGAGGAGATGTATAAAGGATGGGATGCCAAGCTCCGATTTAGCGGGATACACTTTCGCCCAGGACTTATACTGGTTGACTGCGTAGACGAGGATGCGGCTAATTTTATCCATGGAACGGCACCTAAGCTGAACGGATGGGAAGGCGCTGAACTCACCACGTGTGTCGGGGACAAAATACCGAAATTACACATGTTGACAGTCTACCTCCCAAGAGCTAAAGGGGTCGACACGGAAAAGCTGCTAAAACTGCTCATAACTCAAAATGAGGGTCTACATACTCAGATGTGGAGAGTTTTTAGCAGCAAGGATCTGAAAAATGGCAAACTCCTAACAATCGGGATTGACAACCGGTCTCAGGAAGCCATAACAAACAACGGCTGTAGGATCTTCTACAGATTCAGTTCCGTCCCAATTCACCTGCATAAGGGACGAGACAACAAGGAAAGAAGTAACTCAGCTGGGGAAAATACACCAGCTGTAGGAACGATACCTGCAACTGTTGCGGAACTAGTGGAGGAGGAGGCGACCAGGAGCGAGAAGATTGAAGATATCAGCGTGCTACCTCACGAGAGTGAGGACATTGAGAATCTAGATCTCTCTCTACTGAACCTGGCGTCCGAGGAAGACTCCGAAAGAATCTTTCTGTCAGACATCGACGACGGTCTGATAGAAGAAACGAAGGAGGAATAACCACCTGATGACCAGCACTAGAATCGCCCAAATAAATATCCACCATGCAAAAGCTGCGTCGGCAGTTATTGCAAGGGCTACGCTCAAATCGAACCTGAGCATAGTGCTGGTCCAAGAACCCTGGATTTACAGGGGTCGAATCTGTGGTTTGACTGCAAAGAATATGCAGACAATTTGGGATGTAAGATGTGATAAACCAAGAACCTGCATTTTATTGAATATTAATATCAACTTTATCTGTCTTTCAGAATTTCTCTCCAGGGACCTCGTTGCCATACAGATTCCGGCCAACATCAACGGAGTTCTACGGAACGTAGTCGTAGCTACAGGTTATCTACCAGGAGACGACACTCAGGTACCATCTGCAGAGGTCGATAAACTGGTAAACTACTGCGAGAGAATGAAATTGCCTCTTATACTCGGTTGCGACTCCAACGCACACAACGAAGTTTGGGGAAGCACTAACACCAATATAAGAGGTGAGTACCTTTTAGAATTTATAACTAGTAAAAAATTAGAAATATGTAATGTAGGTAATACACCAACATTTGTAACTATCTCACGCAAAGAGGTCCTAGATATTACTATAGGAAATACTCGAGGTTGTGAGCTTGTGAAAAACTGGAGAGTATCCAGTGAACCATCTATGTCTGATCATAGAATTCTAAGGTTCGACATGGAAGGTTCACCAATTAACAAAAAAATTTTAAGGAACCCAAGAAAAACAAATTGGGAGAACTACACGGAAAATCTGAAAGACAATCTTGTCCAATTAGGGCTAGATGAAATCATTCAGAATGAAATTCAATTAGAAAATTACCTAGAAAACCTTAATGGGGCCATACTAAATGCATATGAGGATAGCTGTCCATTAAGCCTGATTAACTCCACCAAGGATGTGCCTTGGTGGAACAATGACCTTAAAA